CTTGTCTGAGAACCTTTCAGAAATGTTCGTACATACAGAAAGAAGCGTGCCCGAGGATATTCTTTTGCAGGGTTGTTTGTATTAGTAAAAAACTGGGGATGTGACGAATGCCCATTGGCAAAAAGTTGTTTAAGGTAGTGGCTCCTGACCAGAGGTGGTTTTGCCCCCGAGGACCTTTGCCAACATCTGAAGACATTTTTTGGTTCTCTCACCTAGGAAAGTGCTACTGGCATCTCGTGGGTGGAGACCAAGATGCTGCTAACCCTCCTACCAGACAGCCCCTACCAAAAATTACCCAGCCCCAAATGTCAGCAGTGCTGAGGCTGAGAAACACTGGGTCAAAACTGCAGCCAATTGAAAGAAAAGGGTAAATCTGTGCCATTAAAGGTCTCCAAGATGTGTCATTTTTAAAAAAATGCTTTTTTTCACAGCTTAATATGTGATTTTTTTATAATACAAGAAAATAAAATAGCAAATTTGGAAAACCGCTAAATAATCAGTTCTCCCCAGAGGCGGTCAGTTTCTTATGCATCCTTCCGGAAATAGTCCCAGCATGGACAAGCATATTTGGTTTTTAATAAGCTGCAAGAACTTTGCTGCGTGGTTAGAGTCAGAAACCAGTGCGTTAATTAGCGGGCTGCTCGAGACCTGCACCTGAGGACCCCTGAAATAATGTTCTTTCGATTATTCCCCCTCCCTTGTGCTTTCAATGGCATTTTTTATTTTTGGATACAGAACAGAACTGTGTGCTGGGGCTTGGGGGGATGGGAAGGAGCCTGTACCAAGAGTCTTATATTGATGAGCGAGGCGGGGATCCAGTGGAAGTAAGCCGGGTGAGGGTTCTCTCTCATGTGGGTGTTAATGAGGTTCCACAGGGGCCTTTATGACCAGCGGGGACTTTAACAGGAAGGTGGGGGGAAATTTCCTTCCACCGCAGGGCAGAATTCAGCCGAAGTTAGAAGCATATCAAATTCTCTTCCTGCCTGCCCACAGCCAAGCAAAGTCATTTATGGGCCCGCTTGCATCTACAAATGCACTTTACAATCACTGACTCACCCCATCTCTGACTTTTTTTAACAAGCCTGACTTTCATCTCCTGGGCTTTTCCAGAAAAGCCTCTTAGAATTGGGTCTGAGACCTTTTGATGTTGGCTTTCATCAGCTACTTCTCTTTCTCCTGCCTGTCTCCCTCACTGAAACATTATTCCAAGATCAGGATAAAAGCCCCCACAAGAAGGTGGGGTTGGGTGACCTGCCTGCATCCAGCCCAGGGTTCTTGAACCGTAAGGTGTCTGGGGCCCTCTTCAGCCAGATGCAGGCACGCTCAGCACACCAGACTTGGCAGGTGCATGGGAAGATCAAGCCTACTTGAAAGAATGTTCCAGGTCACAGACTGCAGGCAGCAGGTGATTTCTTCCTTGAGGGACCCACCCGGGCTGAGAACCTGAGCAAGCTGCCTGGCACCTGGCTGTGGAGACAAGGATATTTTATTTTATTTTATTTTATTTTATTTTATTTTATTTTATTTTTAAAGATATTATTTATTTATTTGACACACACACACACAGAGAGAGGGAGAGAGAGAGAGCGAGCACAAGCAGGGGGAGGGGCAGAGGGAGAAGTAGGCTCCCCGCTGAGCAGGGAGTCCAATGCGGGGCTTGATCCCAGGACCCTGGGATCATGACTTGAGCCAAAGGCAGATGCTTAACCGACTGAGCCACCCAGGTGCCTGAGATCAGGGCATTTTAGTTGCAGAGTTGTGGCGGAGGGACATTCGTTTCTCTCAGGTGATGTCAGCCTGCTTCATCTGTAAAATTTAAACCCACTGCTGCTTTCACAAAAATCATCTCTTCTTGCAAGTAAGAAGTCTTATAGAATGAAGTCAGAAATGACAGTTTGGGAGACGAGGGGGTGGTTTCGATCTGAGATGATTCCAGTGATATGAACGGTGCCACAGCTGGTGTGTGAGACCCTGGCTCTGAGTCGAGGGCACTTGCAACATTACTTTTAAACCCCTGGACGTGTGTGCTAGAGATTTTATTTGCAACTTTCATGGCAGTTCGATATAAAAGAACACACCTTTATGAGGGGAGCTAGAGGGCCCCCGGGGAAACAAGTTAGTCCGTCAGATGGTATCACATTTAAGTTACTCTAAACAGAACCACGTGTGCCTTCCAGAGACCTCCCAGCCTTCCTCACTCAGCCTTGAAATCAGAACTCCTCCTTCCAGTTGTCTGCATTCTGCTGTGTTTTGATTTGCTTTTCTAACTGGAAACAAGAAGAGGTCTGAGGGGGCTGTGGTTGTGGCGGGGGGGGGGGGGCGGGGGGGATCCATACCCTAGGGCCTTTTTTCCACGATGGTCTGGCTTGCTCATTCTTCCTCTTCATCTTTCTGCCTGCCCTCAGACTATTGATCTAGAAGATTCAGGGGTCTCCAGCATTTGCAGAGGTTACCTGCTGGCCTTAGAAGAGTTCTGAAAAGTTTGGTGTCAATTAAAAAAAATTTTTTTTTTTTTTGAGTGAGCTGGCTAAGATGCTGGCCATTTAAAGTAAGAATGAGTGAATTACTGGACAAAAAGGAAGCTTTTAGTTGCATGCGTTAGTGTATATCATCTGTGGTCTGCATGAGATTTTCCAAAATTGGGATTCTTGGAAGAAGAGCACATGGTAGGCAGCCTTAGACCGATTGAACAGGATTCAGGAAGTCTTCTTTTACAAGAATGTTTTCCAGGGGGGTCTGAGATGGTTTTGTGATAGAGCAGTGACATCCTTCCTCCTGCAAGGTCCTCAGCCCTGGGAGCTCCGAGGGGAAGACCTGCACGGATCCCTGTGTTCACTGGGAAACTCCCGCATCTCTGTGTCACCATGAGAGAGAGGTGACTCTGTCACAGATGAAGAGGCGTACAAATTAGTCTAATCTTTGCATTAAATTCGGCACAAATTTGCTTCTCCACCTAGGAATGGCGCTGCATAATTCTGAGTTCTCTGCATTTTAAGGCGGGCCTTGAAGCCCCCGACCCCCGTGCAAAAAAAGTCAGCGGGAGGTGACGAGAGCCGTATAGACTGAGAGACTGAGGCCTGTGAATAGGGACTGATGAGCGGCAAAACTCTGGTGAAACCTCCCAGTCCTGGGTGAAGCAAAGCCCCACCTCACAGCTTTAAAACAACCTCAAGGCATGAATCATTATATTACCAAGGCTGGCTGGCTTGAGAGGAACCGAAAAAATGAAAATACTCACGTTGCTCATTAGCAAAGGGGAATACGCAAATGTTGAGGGTCCTGTTGTGTCCGAGTCCCGCTGCTGTTTGGGTTTGGCAGGCAGAGCACTCCTCTTGCACATGCCTTCATCTTCATGCCAGATTCTCTTCTCACCCTTGAGCCTGGTCTGAGGAGTTGGCCAGAGTGGAATGAGGGGCTTGAGAAAACAGAGCGTGTTTCACACTGACCCTTTTAACCAGTGTTCGATCCTTTTTGTGATTTAATGCTTGTTATAGACTCACATTTTCTTTTTTTTTTTTAAGATTTTATTTTATTTTTTTGAGGGAGAGAGAGAGAGAATGAGCAGGGTGAGGGACAGAGGGAGAAGCTGACTCCCCACTGAGGAGGGAGCCGGAGGCAGGGCTCAATCCTGGGACCTGGAATCATGACCTGAGCTGAAGGCGGACGCTTAACCGGGGCACCCCTGGACTCACATCTTCTACAGCAGGTTTCTCCAAGATAGCACAATAGTCTCGGCCACATTTGAAACCAGATGGTTCTTTGTTGTGGGGTGTTCCTGTACATTGTGGGGTGTTCAGTGGTACCCCGGCCTCTACCCACTCGGTGCCTGCAGCAGCCTCCCATAGTGGTGACAACCAAACTAGACATTGCCGAGTGTCCCATAGGACACAAAATCTCTCTCTCTCTCTCTCTCACACACACACACACACACACACACACAGCCTTTGTTCACTGTTCTACAGGAAAGAAGCAGTAAAAAAATCATCTTTGTCCTAAATTAGTTGTACTTTTAAAATAGATCCTAAGGTTTTCCATACCTTTAACACCTGTGTGTTAGTGGTTTATTTCCTATGTGGGGTAAATAAGATTTTATTCCTTTTGAATGGCCTTCACAAAAACTCAGAATCTTCTCTCTCCTCTTCCGATCTGCTCTCCCGTGGGATTCATATGTTGCTAATAATTTACCAGACCTGTTAATTCATTAATAGGTCATTAATTTATTGATCCTGCACATTCATTCATTTGCAACAGTATACTTGGTGAGCTCTCACCACATGCCCAGTGGTGAGCAAGCGCCGCCTTGAATAACCAGGATTCCTTTCTGTTTCATAACATATCCACCTTCCTCGGCTTGCCTATGAGGAGGGCTTACATTCTTGGAAGGCAAAACTGCATCTGACATGGAGCAACAGGTCCTAGGAGTCAGACAGACTTGGGTTTCGAATCCCACCTCCACTGCTTATGAGCTGGGTAGCCTTGGAACCATTATTGAACCAGTGTACCTCAGTTTCCCAATGTGAACATGGGGGTGATGCCCCCTCCATGGCAGATTTCTGTGAGGCCTCAAGGAAATCATGTACATCAGGCATCAGTAAATGGTACCTTATCGTCCATCCACCAGCCCGTAAGTCGTGACATAGGAGCTGCCATCTTTGTGGGTCCAAAACGGCCAAATAGTGGCAACTTCCTACAGTTCAACCTAATAGGTAAATAAATGGAATGATTCTGCTTGGTTATTTTCCTGCGTTCCCACCCTCTCTCTGAGGAGGCATCCCACTGACACAACAGAGCGCACTTCAGAGGATAAACCCACTTGGCTGCAGCGACAGCTCACGTGTGTCTTAAAAGCTTGCACTCTGGGAACTGGCACTTTCCCAGCCTTGCAGCCAGTTTGTGAGGAGATCGCCAGAATTGCAGCAATTTCTCCGTGTGCTGCGGTTGTTTGTTCCCTGGGCGTCCGTCATGGGCTGGTCTGTGACGCATCTGTATTTCTGTTCCAGGTCACGCTGCTGATCGCCTTCATCTGCGTCAGGAGTTCTGTGTGGATCAGCTACAGTGCCTACAGCTACTTTGAAGTGGTCACCATTTGCAACTTGATAATGATCCTCGCCTTTTATCTGGTGCACCTCTTCCGCCTCTACCGCTTGCTCACCTGCATCAGCTGGCCACTGTCGGTAAGGGGGTGGCCCAGGGCCCCGAGACCTGACAGACTCCGTCCCATCTGCCCCTCCCCCACAGCCCCCCCTCCTCCATCACCTCTTCCTGCTGCAGCCCTGAACTTCTCACTGTCTGGTGGGCATCTCAGCCCATGTCCCGCTGGTTTCTAAAGCTCACCTTCCAGGGGCGCCTGGGGGGCTCAGTTGGTTAAGCGTCTGCCTTCGGCTCAGGTCATGAGCCCAGGGTCCTGGGATCGAGCCCTGCATCGGCTCCCTGCTCAGCGGGAAGCCTGCTTCTCCCTCTCCCTCTGCTGCTCCCCTTGCCTGTGCTCTCCTGCTCTATCAAACAAATAAATAAAATCTTAAAAAAAAAAACCAACTCACCTTCCAGTGACGAGAAAGCTGTGTGTGTGTTTTCTCCAGGGACAGAAAAGGGGCCGACTCTGTGTGTGAGGTAGGAGGAGGAAGCTGATAAAGGCGATGGGTGTTTATACTGTTGTGATAAGATTTGTCAGCTAAAAGGGACTGGCAGAGTCTGAGGAAAGATTCCAGAAGTTTCCAGGATTTTTTTTCTTCCCACTATATTATTATTTAAATAGCTTGATTGACATACAGTTCACATGCCATACAATTGCCCACTTAAAGTGTTCAATTCAGCAGATTTTTCCATAGTCCCAGAGTTGTGCAAGCATCACCACAGTCGATTTTAGAACATTTTCCTCGCCTCAAAAAGAAACCCCATCCCCTTTCGCTATCACCTCCCACCTCTCATCTTCTCCAGCCTGAAAGCAACCGTGAATCTACTTGCTGTCTTGTGAATTTTCCTATTCTAGACATTTCCTGTAGGTGGAATCATATGTGTGGTCTTCTGTGACTGGCTTCTTTCACTTAGCAGAGTGTTTTCATGGTTTATCTATGTCGTAGCATGGGTCAGTACTTCATTTTTTTAATAGCCAGGTCCATTGAAAGGATAGACCACATCTTGTTTATTCGCTTATTGGATGGACATTTGGGTTGTTTCCACCTTTTGGGTATTATGAAGCGGTACGAATAATGCTGCTATGAACATTCGCGTATAAGTTTTTGGTGTGGACATGTTTTCATTTTGCTTGGGAACATACCTGAGAGTGGAATTGCGGGGTCCCATGGTAACTATATCTCATTGTTTGAAGAACGGCCAGACTTTATTCCACACTGGCTGCCCCAGTTGACATTCCCATCGGCAGTATATGAGGGTTCCAGTGTCTCCATAGCCTTCTCAACACTCATTATTTTCTGACTTTCTGATTTCAGTCACGATAGCGAGTGTGGAGTGGTATCTCATGGTTCTGATTTGCATTTCTCTGATGACTATTGATGTCAGTCATCTTTTGATGAGTACTCAAATTGGCCATTTGAGTATTTTCTTCAGAGGCAAGTCTATACAGATCCTTTGCCCATTTTTGGATTAGGTTGTCATTTTATTACTCAATTCTCAGAGTCCTTTGTATATTTTAGTGTCCTTAACCTTGCTGAACTCATTTTAGATCTAACAGATCGTTAATGGATTCCTCAGAGTCCTTTGTATATTTTAGTATATTTTAGTTACAAGTCCCTTACCAGATAAATGATTGGCAGATATTTTCTCCCATTCTTTTGGTTGTTTTTCATTTTCTTGATAGTGTCCGTTAAAGCACAAGTTTTTAATTTCAATGAGATCTAATTTAATTACTTTTCTTTTTTTGGTATAAAAAAATGTTTGTTTGGGGTTTTTTTGGTATAAAATCTAAAAGGCATTGCCAAATCCAAGATCATGAAGGTTTGCCTCTATGTTTTCTTCTAAGGAGTTTCATACTTTTAGCTCTTACATTTAGGTACTTGGTCTATTTTGAATTAATTTTTGTGTCTAGTGTGAGGCAAGGATTCAACTTCATTCTTTTGCAGGTAAATATCCAGTTGTCCCAGCACCATCTGGTGGGAAGACCATTCTTTCCCCCATTGAATTGACTTGTCATCCTTGCTGAAAATTAGTTGACCATAAACACATGGATTTACATCTGGCCTCTCAATTGCATTGATCTTACCCCACTGTCTTGATTGCTATAGATATGTAACCAGTTTTGAATTTAGGAATTATGAATCTTCCCATTTTTTTTTCAGGATTGTTTTGGATTTTTGCAATTTCATATGAATTTTAGAATCAGCTTTTTAGTTTCTACGAAAAAGTCAGCTGGGATTCTAATACAAACCATTGAATCTATAGATCGATTTGGAGAATATTGCCATTTTAACAATATTAAATCTTGTGACCTAAGAACATGGAAGGTTTTCCCATTTATTTAGATCTTTAATTTCTTTCAGCAGTGCTTTGTAGTTTTCAGAGGGTAAGCTTTGTGCTTTTTGGAGGGGGGAGCTTAAATTTGTTCCTAGGTATCTTACTCTTTTTGATGACATCCCAAATGTAATTATTTTCTTAATTTCATTTTGGGATTGTTCATTGCAAGTGGACAGAAATACAAGAGATTTTTGTATATTGATCTTGTGTCCTTAACCTTGCTGAACTCATTTTAGATCTAACAGATCGTTAATGGATTCCTTAGGATTTTCTATACAAGATTATGCCATCTATGAATAGAGATAGTTTTATATTCCCCTCCAATCTGAATGCCTTTTATTTCATTTTCTTGTCTCACTGCAAGAAATTAGTTGAATATTGAAGTGGCAAGACCACACATCATTATCTTGTTCCTGATCTTAGGAGGAAAGCATTCCATCTTTCATCATTAAATATGATGTTGTGGATTTTTTAGATGCCATTTTATCAGATTGAAGAAGTTAACTTCCAGTCCTACTTTGTTGAGTGTTTTTATCATGAAAAGGTATTAGATTTTGTCAAATGTTTTTTCTTTGTTGAGATAATCATGTTTGTTTTCCCCCTTAATATTCTGTTAATATGGTGTATCACATTGATTTTCTTATGTGAAACTAACATTTGCATCCCTGGGATAATTTCTGTTTGGTCATGATATATAATTCAGTTTATGTGTAGCTGGATTTGGTTTGCTAGTATATTGTTGAGGATTTTTATATTTGTATTCATAAGAGATATTGGTCTGTAGTTTTCTTGTGATGTCTTTGATTTTGTTATCAGGGTAATACTGGTCTCATAGAGTGATTTGGGAAGTGTTACCACCTCTTATGTTTTTTAGAAGAGTTTGTGAAGAATTGGTATTAATTCTTCTTTAAATGTTTGGTAGAATTTTGCAACGAAGGCGTCTGAGCCTGGGTTTGTCTTGTGGGTAATTTATTATTATTATTATTAATTCAAACTTGACTTGTTATAGATCTATTCAGATTGTTTATTTCTGCCCGAGTCATTTTCAGTGGTGTGTCTTTAGAGGAATATGTCTATTTCATCTAAGTTTTCTAATTTACTAGTCTATAGTTGTTCATAGTATTCCCTTAAAATCCTTTTACTTCTGTAAGATCCATAGTGATGTCCCCTCTTTCATTTCTAATTCTGGTCATTTGAATCTCATCATCTTCTCTCTTTTTTTTCTTGATCAGTCTAGCTAAAGGTTTGGCTATTTTGTTGATCTTTTCAAAGAACCAGTATTAGTGTCACTATTTTCCCTATTGTTCTTCTGTTCCCTATATCATAATTTCTGCTTCAATCTTTTTTTCCTTCTTTCTCCTTGCTTTAGGTTTAGTTTGTTCTTTTTCCAGTGTCTTAAGGTGAAGATTAGGTTATTAATTTGAAACCTTTCTTCCTTTTTAATGTTAGGTATGTATAGCTATAAGTTTCTTTCTGAGCACTGCTTTAGTTGCATCCCATAATTTTAGTATATTATATCATCATCTTCATTCATCTCCGGGTACTTTCTAATTTCCCTTGTGATTTTGCATTTGATTGACCCAGTAGTTAGGAATGTGTTAATTTCTATGTATTTGTGGGTTTCCCAAAATTCTTTCTGCTATTACTTTCTAATTTCATTCTGTTGTAGTTGAAGAACATATTTCATATGATTTCAATCCTTCACATTTATTGAGGTTTGTTTTATGGCTTAGCATATAGTGTCTCCTGGGGAATATTTTGTGTGCATTTGAGAAGAATGTATATTCTGTTGTTGGGTAGAGTGTCTTATACATGTCTGTTAGGTCTAGTTGTCTTATAGCATTGAGTCTTCTATTTCCCTGTTGGTCTTCTCCCTAGTTGTTCTACACATTATTGAAAGTGGGGTATTGAAGTCTCCAACTAGTATTTTTGAATTACCTATTTTTTCCTTCATGTATTTTGTTGCTTTGTTATTAGGTGCATACGTGTTTGTAATTATTCTGTCTTCCTGATAGATTGCCGTTTTTGTCATTGTAAAATGTCCCTCGTTGGTAACATTTTTGTTTTAAAATCCATTTCACCTGATACTAGTATAACCACTCCAGCTTTCTTTTGGTTGCTGTTTGAATGACCTATCTTTTCCTTCTTTCTGCTTTCAGTCTATCTGTATCTTTGAGCATAAAGTGTTCCTCCAATAGCCAGCATATAGTTGGATTTTCTTTTTCTTTAAGTAGGCTCCACGCCCAGTTGGATCCCAACATGGGGCTTGAACTCATGACTCTGAGATCAAGACCCGAACTGAGACAATTAACCCAACTGAGCCACCCAGACACCCCTGTATCTTTTTTTTTTTTTAATCCAGTCTGACAACCTCTGGATTGTTTAATTATTCACATTTAATGTTATTACCTGCTATGTTATTTTGAGAGACATTTCTTTTGTGTTCCTAAGTTAAAGACCCCTTTCAAAGTTATGGCACCTTTCTGCTTCTTTTGAGAGCAAGGTCCTCTGGTAATGATGCTGATACTGAAACACTCTGAGGAGAGAGAAAGGTTGGGGGCAGGGATGGGGGTGGGTGGAGAGGGGAGTGCATGTTGGGGGGTAAGCTCAGCCCCACATTTTTGATGGGGTACTATCGAGGCACTTTCCATTTAGGACTCTCTCAAGTCAGTTTTCTCTACCCCGTGTCCTATTCCTCTTTCTTCATGGGTGAGAATCTTGGAGATAGGGAACTTTTCAGTTACTGATCTGCTCTTCAGTCAAAATCTCTGTGGTCTACCTTCTGATATTCCTTTCTAGTCGCTAAAGGAGAAATTGGGGTCTTTGATTTCGCACAGCTTTCAGAGGAGCTGCAGGTTAAAAGTGGAATGCTTTTCCAGAATTTAATAGGTGCCTGCCCTAATGGGCAGAACTTCACGGAGGACTAATTTCTGAATCCTCATGGAAGACAACTAAAAATGAATACCCTCTGGATCCAGAGGGAGTCCTCTCGTGGCCCTAAGCCCCAGTTCTCCTCTGATCTGGTGTTTAATGGGGAGGAAGAAGGAAGAAGGTGGAAGCCTTACCCTGCTCCTGAATGACAGAGGTTCAGCCTCATTCAGGGCCTGCAGAGAGGGCATTTTAAGCCCGGAGGGTGAATGGGGTGCAGATGGATGGAAGCAGAGGTGGAATCTGCCCTGCTAGCAAACTCCTCAGCAGTGTGGCCTGAGGGCACACTCCCAGACAGCAGACTGAAGAGGAAATGAGGACAAAGCGAGGAGGCTTATTAGGAACCAGAAAGTCAGCCCCCCCACCCCCACAAGCACTTCACAGAAGGCTGCTGACCTCACCCTGGGCTGTGACTCCAGATCTGAGGGGGCCAGCACCTCCAGACCGCACCTAAAACCGTTCACAGAGTGGGCAGGCACTCCAGGCAGCTACCAAAGCTAGCACGTTGTTAGCCCAGAACTTTCTCTGAAGCAGAAGTGAGAGGTACACATCTCTTGAAGGGGCTCTGCTTCTCAGAGCTGGAGCTTCCTTTAAACTCTGCGAGTTGTGGGAAGCTGTTGGCTGGAGGTCCGGGTGCTGTCTACAGATTGCTCTCAGGAGGGGAGCAGTCCTTAGTGGGTATCTCTCCTCACACGACAAGTGTCCTTTCTCCCTGTCACCTCTCTGGCTGCCTGCCCGGCTCCTTTTCTGTCTTGCGGGGCCTCATCCTGGCCGGCCTCCTGCAGCCGCTGCCTGTGAGCAAACTGCTCTGTCAGGATGTCATGAGGAGAAGACGAGGTGTCACTCCCTCCCCTCTGTTCCTGTCTTCTGTGCCCAGTTGCCTCTGAGAACCAGGAGTGGACCTCCCGACCCACAGCTTTGCTTTGTTTTTGTCCCCAGGAACTTCTGCACTATTTAATCGCTACCCTGCTCCTCCTAATCGCCTCCATTGTGGCAGCCTCCAAGAGTTACAGCCAGAGCGGACTGGTAGCTGGAGCGGTGAGGACAGTCTCGGGGAACCTTCACGAATGAGTTCACTTCTAGCGCATTTTATTCCTGATGGGCAGCGAGGGGATTGTTTCCGGGGCCCTTTCTTTCCCAGAAAAGGACCCATCAGAGCCCACCTGGATCCAGCCAACAGCAGCCTCCAAAGAGCCGGGTCCACAACAGAGGGTCTCAGCAGGTGGACGGTCAGGGTCCCTGGCACACTCAGATGGCCCCAGTGGCCCAGCCCTCCCTCAGACAGCCACTCCTCACACCAGGGGGCCAGTCGGTCTTGATGCACATGCCCGTTCGGCCCATTCGTTGGTGGCTGCCTCAGAGCTATGCAAAGATCCTGAGGCCTCTTTGGGGCCCAGGAAAAGAGCATGTGATCAGTTAGTGATACCTGCCATGAGCGGTAGCTCTGCTGGTCCTGATTTGTAACAGTATTCAGGCCGGGAAATAACACTGCTAGACCTTGCAAACGTGAAAATTAATCCATCTGATAGCCTGAATAGAAGGATGGAAATGTATAAAAATGTAGTGCTGTGGGAGCTGTGTTTACCACACATGCAAATATATATACATGGGTGTGTTCATGTGTATGTATTTATTTTTAAAAGACACAGATTCCTGCCATCTGATTTCTGATTTAGCTAATTGGTTACAGTTTGGTGGCAATACTGATTTGCCTCACTGATGAGCAGATGAAATTTTTTAAATGAGGGTTTTTGTTTTGTTTTGTTTTGTATTTTTAGTGAGAGGGAGAGAGAAGCAAGTGGGTGCGAGGGCAAGGGAGGGGCAGAGGGAAAGAGAATCTTAAGCGGGTTCCGTGTCAGCACGGGGCTCCATCTCATGACCCTGAGATCATGACCTGAGCCATAATCAAGAATCAGACGCTTAATTGACTGAGCCACCCAAGCACCTCAATTTTTAAAATGAGTTTTAAGAAAAGCTCTACGAGACAGTCACTCTTTCATTTATATGTTAGCAAAATTCTCCAGACTTTGGGCTAGGAGTGGGTTAATGCCTGGAATTCCACCAAGGGGTGGGATCTGTCCTCCAAAGGTGGGCACAGGGGCAGCCAAGCCTTTGAACACTCATGGGCTTAAATGCCTCCCCCCGCAGTTCCCAAGGAGAGGGGTGGGCACCACCTATAGCTTACCACCCGCCCGACTACAGGCAGGCTGGTGAGGGAGACACAGAGGAAACCGGTGCCCATTGTGTTTCGGGACCACATGGAGAGGTTCTCCCTGGGTTTTACGATTCAGGTTGCACATAACCATGTTTCTTAGCCCCGGAATCCCAATAAGCCCCATTTATCATACACCATCTTGGTGCCTAGGACCAAGCCTCGGCCATGGGGGGTCCAGAGGAAACAAAAAGATACAGTCCTTGCTTATGAGAAAATGGTCATCCAGTTTAGGAGTCAAGGCCAAGGCCCATGAAACAATTAGCAAACAAGGCATTGTCATCCAGAAGAGCACTATGTAGCAATATAATAAACTGTTCAATTATGCAGAGCAGACAGTAGGAGACCGGGATGGTATCTAATGTGCTAATTGTGCAGAACAGACAATGAGGGGCCAGGACAGGCTCCAATAGGCTAATTATGTGGTGCAGACAATCGGTGCAAAAGGAGCCAAGGAAAGGGAGCTGGGGGAGGGGAAGGCGGATGTGGGCCTGTGGGGGCAGCCTCTTCTGTAAACCAGCAGCCAGGCTTGAAAAGCAAACCAAACCCTTGGGAGACCGTGCCCTTGGTCTGGCTGCTCCCGGGCTGTGCCTACTGCACGTCAGCCCGTGGTTGTGGCCACGTCGCCAACCGGAGGCCATTTGCAAGTCCAGGAACATCTGGGCAAAAATCGAGCAGGGCTCTGGAGCCAGATTCCTAGGGCGCACATCCCATGTCCGGCCCTCGCTGGCTCGTGGCCCTGGGCAAACTAGTTGATTTGCTGTCCCTCCATGTCTTTAGCTGCCAGGTGAGGGAGACAGGAGGTAAGAGCAGCACCCACCTGGCAGTGGGGTGGGAGTTGAAGGGACCAGCACACCTAATGGGCTTAGAACCCAGGCGGGCGCATAGTCGGTGGTCAGTAAGTTATAGCTCCTGCGTTGCTGTTCACAGGTCAGGAACTGGCTTCAGGCTTCCAAGTGCCAGACAGACACCAGAGTGTGTGCCTGCTTCTCTCTGGACCATCGGATGAGCCCCACCCGAGGCCCTTTTCCTCCTGGCCGCCCTGTTCCTCATCTTTAAATGAAGCTGGACGGGGCTGGGTCAGCTTTCCTAGGTCAGCGAGATCAGCCACTTGAGCACTGGGTAGATCCTCAGAAAGGGAAGGAGCACTACCTTCACTGATTTTAGTCTAAGATTGTTGAAATACGTGCAAACATAAAACTGTATATCAAGGCCTCAGCTTCTGGCTATTACACAGCTATAAAGTGAGACAGAACAGAAAGCCATTAAGAGTGAAATGCAACGCTGCCCCATCCAGTAAAATCCATTTGAACGTTAGAAATTTAAAAACCCCTACTGAAATGTACAGTTCCACTCTTTTCTCTTTCATTAGCCCAGATAATTGTCTTGTACAGCGCCTTGGCCTCAGCTCAGTTGTAAATACGAACCCCAACATGGGCCCTGAACTTGCCTAGAGTGAGGAGGGCCAGGAGGTGGAGCCCAGAGCCTGAGGGCCAGGCCTGAGCTAGGGCCCTGCACCTGAGCAAGGACCAGGTGGTCAGGTCACTCGGTTCCCCAGGCTCCCCCTGGGCCACAGCTGAGACAGGGATGAGAAACATAAAGGACAGCCTGGGTGATTGGCCCTTGGCCTGGGAACCTCCTTTCTTCCCTGTCCTGTGCAGATCTTCGGTTTCGTGGCCACCTTCCTCTGCCTGGCGAGCATCTGGATGTCCTACAAGATCTCGTGTGTGACCCAGTCAGCAGGTGAGTTCCGGCTGTCCGAGCACAGGCGATCTCTGAAAGTTCCCTCTGCCGGGGAACAGGGGGACGGCCTGTTGTGGAGTTCAGCAACAGGGAAGGGCCCCACTGCAGGGGAGGCCTTGAGGGGTAGGGCCCAGGTGGGGAGGCGGAGCCCAAGGCCCTCTGTTCTTGCCCCGTTGCCGTAGCCCGGGACATCCTCACGTGTCCGCCGCTGATGCTGAAGCATTTTCTTTAAATCCATTTCCTAATGACAAAAATGAAGTGTAGAGAATTTTGAAAGTGCACATAAAGAAAAAGAAAAAACTTTTCATGAAAACCATCCGTCATCACATTACCCAAAATAGCACCTGCTGGGTGTCTGTCCTTCCAGTATTTCCTCTCTCTGGATGGATGGATGGACAGATATAAACATACATAGATATATATGTTGCTTTTATTAAAGGATCCGACTTCATGTGTTATTTGTAACCTGCTCTTTTTCTCCTACTTAACCACCAATCAGGCATTTTCCCTACATGGTTGGGGATTCTTCTCCAACATGTTTTTGTTTTTTTTTTTAAAGAGTTTATTTATGAATTCATTCATTCATTCATTCATTTTTAAGATTTTATTTTTAAGTAATCCCCACACCCACCGTGGGGCTCGAACTCACACTCTCCACTGACTGAGCCAGGCGGGGCCCCTCTTCTCCCTCACTTTTAATGGCTCCGTGCCTTGGTGTGCAGTTCACTGCAGTTCCCCTGCACGTCTGTATCATAGTTTACTTGTCTCCTATCTGGGGCCATTATGTTTTGTTTTTTTAATTCTTTGCTACTAAACAGTGTTGTAAAGAACATCCTTGTAAATACAGCCCCACACTCATCCCTAATACCCTTTCTCTTTAGAATGCATTCCTAGAAGTAACACTGCTAAGTGCGGTTTTGATTAGTCTACTTCTCTACTCCAGCCCTTCCTTTCTTTGTTCGTCTACACTACAAAATATCAGAGCATGCACGGCCTGTGGGCTGAGCTGCCCCGCAGAAGGGTTGTTTCATCAGAGCTTCCATTTCCTTCCAGAAGCTACTGACGCTGAGGGCAGGGAGCCAGTCACAAAAGACCACAGACTCTAGGATCCCACTGATGGGAAATGTGTCGAATGGGCTCATCCCAAGAGGCAGAAAGAAGATGGTGGGGGGGGCGGGGGGGTGTTGCCAGGGGCTGGGGGACGGGATGGCAGATGGGCAGGGGCCCTCTTTTGGAAGTGATGAAATATTCTCACATTGTGGTGGTCAGTGCTTGAGCCATCCTATGAATATTTGAAAACCTTGGAAGTGTACAACTTAGACGGATTTAGTGGATTGTATGGTACGTGGAGTCTATCTCGGCCAAGCTGTTTAAAGAAAAAGAAAATGATGAAAAGTAGAGAACGTGAAAGAGAGTTACTAGGTAACAGCTAAAGGTGATATGTGTGTAAATATTGGCAGAAACATACGGCTTAAAATTCACAAAGGAAGAGCCAAAAGGCACTTCAAGTCCCCCTGAGGATGCGCTGGTTCAGCTTGGTCGCGGCCAGGCTGAACCAAGCGGGCGGGGGGCGGGAGCGAGGGGAAGAGCAGGGATGGAAATGCTCCCCGCACTACTGAATTTTTTTCCCTTTGAGAAGTGTATTTAGAAAGGCTAAAATCATTCCAAGGGCGGTGGGTGCCGGGTGGAGGAAGGAGGAAGTGCACTGAGCCGAACCAGGTCAGCCCCCTGCTGTGGGGCTTCTGCGTGGGCCCTGCCCTGCCAGCGGGCCTAACTCTGCCATTTCCCTCCCAAGATGCAGCTGTGTGATGCCAGCCCAGGCCCGGCCCCGCGGGAGGCCCTGCGGACAGGAGGGTCAGTGGGCCAGCCCCCACAAAGGGCTGCTGACCCTGTGCTCTTGTGCCAAAGTCCCGTCCACGCGGGTGGGCGCAGGAGGGGGGCTTCGGCGTCCTCCAGGGCTCCTGAGCCGCACGGATCTCTCTTTCCAGTCCTCCTTGGAGAACAGTCCTCCCCGCCTGGGAAAGAAAACCAGCCTCCAGGGAAATCTGGTCTCTCCCTCCTGCTTTGAGAACCACCTGCCTCAGGGACTGATGACCCCACTTAACCCACGAGGGAGGGGTTTCTGAAAACTCCTGCCTAATTCTGCTTCTACTTCACATTCCTCAGGGGAGTGAAGCTGCCTTAAGTCCTCTTATAGAAACCAAGCCATCTCCTAATTTATCTAGCTTGGAAAGCCTCTCTCTGGAGAGACTCTCTTCCTTAAGTGAGGCGTGTCTGCAGAAGCACTCTGTGGTCAGCCTGTCCCCAGATAGGAGATCCCGGCTCCTTTCGGGCCTCAGCCTTAATTCCCATTGTGTGTGCGTCTGTGTGTGTGTCTGTGTGTCCGTGTGTGTTGTATGTGTGTGTCGATGTGTGGGCGTGTGTGTGTGTGTTGTAATAAAATATTGATTTGGCCAATTGCACAAGGATTTCTTATTAACTGAGGCTGTCGACCAGGAGTAAAGTGATGGGGGCCACAAAGCTCATGGGGAAGCCTGGGGGCCCACCCCTGTGTGTGCACACCACCCCTTCCCCGGAGGTGAGAACAGCAAAGGATGCAGAAGATACGGGCCGCTCAAGATTTGCATATTTTCAGAGTAAATTGGTGGGGAAGGGTGGAAGCCAGTACTGTTCACACAAGACAGAAAGTAGTACTCAAGAGCAACACAGGCAGCCCTAAAAAAAAAAAAGGGTAGAAAATTCTGGTACCTACTACAACATGGATGAAGCTGGAAGACATGATGCTGAGTGTAATAAGCCAGACACCCCAGGACAAGTACTGTCCGATTCCATTTACAGGAGGTTCCTAGAGAAGTTACAATTCAAAGACAGAAAGTCGAAGGGTGGTGGCCGGGGCCTGCGGGCAGGGGACTGGGGAGTTCGTGTGTCCATTTGGGAAGATGGAGATGTTCTGGAGATGGATGGCGGTGGCTGCCCAACAACATGAATAATACCACTGCACGGCGCACCTAAAAATTGTAAAATTGGTACGTTTTATGTATCTTTTACCACAATTTTTTTAAAAAGCAATACAAGACATTCTGTCTAGGCACCTCCACAGCTGGAAGAGCCTCTTGGGTCACGGGGGAAGACCGAGACCCAGGTCACACCCAGCCCAAGGCCAGCAGCATGGCCGGCACCATGTTCTAGCGGGTGCTAGAGAATCCAGGCTGTGGGACGCAGGTGTCTTCCCTAAACCAGGCCCTCCCTGGGACTGCTCAGCCCAGGGTCCGTACCCCTGTGTAACCCAAACTCCATACCCAGCTCCCCAGCTCCCAGGACCGGGGAGGTGGCCCACAGGGCAGTCGCGGCCAGGCTGAACCAAGTAAAGAGAGGAGGGAAGACTGGACCCTGGAGGGAGGACAGGGCATCAGGGGCCAACCTGAGCCCCCCCCGCCGGGGGGGAGCACTGGGAGACCAGGCCAAAGCTGCTCTGCCCACATCCTCCCCCACAGGCAGCCGAGTCCCTGGCGGGCAGAGCCTCCCTGGGGAGGGAGGGAAGATGGAGGGTGGCGCTCTCCCTTGGGGAAGCCTCTGCCACCCACAAGAAAACCCTGCTCAGAGAGGCCCTCTGAGACAACCTTGGTGGGGTTCTCTCCAGCGGGCTGGTGTGAGCAGCAATAAAACTGCCCCACACCTACCTGGAGCGGGCTGGCAGTGCAGCGGGGACCCAAGGAGAAAGCCGAGTGGGAAGCCAGGCTGGCGACAGAGCTGGGATTTGAGTCCGGGTCCGGCCCTCCCCTGGGCCTGGCGTGTGACCACCGTACCCGGGAATGGCCAGGCCGCAGCTGGCCTGGGCCAACTGGCTTCGTCCTCAGGCAGTTGGCTCTGGTGTCTGCAGACGGGCCCAGAGAAGGAAACAAGTGTGTTCCTGAGGGAGGTCCTGCCAGGGCCTGACACACTCCTTGTGCTTGCAGCCATGTGCTAGAAGCTTCTCTCCCAGACACCTTTACCGGCTCAGCCCTCCAGCCAGGATGCTAAGATGACCCAGAGCTGGCCCATTCCCTGTACCACCATCTCCCACCCAGTCCTCCTCCCCAGCATGAAAAGCTGACTCTGTTGCCATGGAAACACAAGGGCCTTTGGGGCCTCTCCTCAGCAACCAGCACTTTGAACATCCTGTGAACTCTCAGGGGTGTTTCAGGGGGATCGTGGCTGTCTGATTTTATGCGCAAAATAGGTTAACCCCTTAAACCACACACTCTCCTGCTCTCAGTAGCAAACACTGACACTGGAACCCCTCGACCCTCCCGCCCGGTGGCAACCCCCCCAGCCTCCCTCACCTTGGGCAGCCTCAGGGGACCCTGGCCTTGTGCCTCCAGGTGAGTGTCTCTGAACCTGCCGCATCCTGGGTGTCCTGAGTGGAGCCGGGATTTCTCTGACCCGCACAGCCAAGACAAAGCAAGGGAATGAATCCAGAGATGAGGCTACAACCCCAGTGGTCTTACTCCAAACTGTGGGCTTCTCAAATTAATCCCATTCTTATGAGACTGACCTTACAGTAAGTATATAGAACTGTAAGCTGGCCATTTATATGGATATCCTATTTCCTGTTTTACATAGTGGACTTTCATATGGTTTAGATTGAAAAGGGGGGGGTTTCTCTGTTTCAAAACAAAACAGAACAACAACAAAAAACGTTCAGAAGCCCCCGAGAGGCGGGTTGCTGCCAGGCTGGGCACCAGGGGACTGGCTAGAGCAACCGCCCAGGCTGGGAGAGGGGACATGGAGGGGCCTCCTCACAACTGGAGCGTTTGGACCTTGCGAGGTGAAGGAGGCAACTGGTGGCTCGCTGGGGTTTTATTGTAATTTTCTCTGTCCAGGAGAATTACGCAAATGAGAAAGACCACGGTTAACTCCACGCAGGGTTGTGCAAAAAAGGAAATGCGGTATCAAGTGTGCCCCTTGGCTCAGGTAACAGCCAGAATAATGGTCCCGCTGAATATCCATCTGACCAAAACGATAAAAACCCCTCCTCGCCCGGGGCAGGGGGTGCTTGGGGGCGGGGGGGAAGCACCCCAGGGCTGCCAGATGCCCCAAGTGCCCGAGAGGCGGGGAAGTCTGGATTTTTAGGCTCCACATTTCCTGAGTTTAAAAAGGCTGCCAAACAAACTTTTAAAAGAGACTCTTCAGGCCGAACCAAGCCCGTGCGGAGGCTCTGCGCCGCCCGCGGGCCCTGGGTTTGCCACCCTGTGGGGCCTGCGGACGCCGGGGACCGAGGGTTTCTGCCGGGCCCCAGGAAGTCAGGGCTGAGGCCGCAGCGCGCTGACGCTTCGCGGGCCGGCACCTGCTTCCTCCCGAAACCCGAGGGCAGCGCGCGGGGCGGGGGCCCTCCCCGGGGCGGGGGCCCTCCCCGGGGAGTCCCCGGGGTCTCCTGCCAGCAGCCGCGCCCGCTGGTGCCCTGCCACCCCTCTCGCAGCTGGCCTCAACTTTCCTTTTTTGCGAAAACAAAACCCTGCGGCGGCGCACGTGGCCGCCGGGACCGTCCTCACCTAGCAGCGCGCGCCCTCTTGTGGCAGCGGGGCGCAGCGCGGCTTTTAATTAACCTTGAACTGTGACTGTGCAAACTTCCCGTTTCCTCACCCCTCCGCTTCTCTCCTCTCCCAGCCTAACTTCCCGACCCTCCCATTCACCGCATCTTTGCTTTTCTTATTATATAGCTCTATTAAAGTTACATGGATTGCCTAGAAAGCGCAGACAACTACAGTAGTTCTTTGTAATTAAATGAAATGGTCACCGCGCCAAACGAAATCTTTTGGGACTTCATTCACTTACCATTATGTAGCGGTAACAGACATCCTCTTTCCCCCTTTATGCAACACTTTACATCCTCTGGGCCTCACGAGTCTCTTGATCCAGCCACCACTGCAGTGCCGGTCCTGCAAGGGCTGTGACCGATTTCAGGCTGTCGTAACCACACAGCTGACGCCTGTGGACTCTCATGTGGGAGCTTTCCTGTGGACGCTGCCAGGGTTCCCAGCGAGCACCCACACTGTGCAAACCGCAAGTGCAGGAGAGTGCCTGCCCTGGGGGGTAGTAGCCGATGGGACACGGGAGTCAGTGGATACGTCTGTTCTTCTCTCCTGGGACAGACTGTCCTGAGACAGGTTTTACATCACTTCTCCAAGACCGTTCCGTGGGACTGATGAAGTTTTAGAATATAAGTGAGGTCCGGAGCCCATGACCAAGAACAAATTCTTGAGACGTCTCTGGGACAAAAAGGTGATTTTATTAAAGCCTGGGGACAGGACCCGTGGGCAGAAAGAGATGTTGCCCTGGGATTGTGAGGGGTGGCTGATTATATACTTTGGGAGTTGGGGGAGGTAAGGAAAACGGAGGTTTCAAAAGGATTTTTGTCTGTTAAAGAAGACTCACAGGCTACCAGAGGCCTTGCCATGGTCAAGTTAAGGTTGGTTTTTTTCCTTCTAGTAAGCATAGATAAGTAAGATAGTTGTTGGGAGCTTCCTGGAGAAACATTACACTTTGCCCTCTTCAAGTATCTGTCAATGGGCTGCAAATTATAAGGACATTTAATTTATCTACATTCCCTTCTGGAAGCTAGGCCATTGATAGAAATGCTTTGTCCTTGTAAATTGCTAAGACTTTTGTAAACTGAGGGAGACTCCTGTCTTGCAAGACTGTGATTTCTATCAGTTAACCATTCGTTTTTCCTTTAGGGCAGCCAGGAGTGCCTGAGGAATGTCACACATACCACGTGGTGTGTGTGTGTGTGTGTGTGTGTGTGTAGGGTGTCAGCTTCTGCTTTGTCCTCAGCTAGCCCTCTGCTCCCTCATCAGGACCAAGGGAAGAGGCACACAGTGGTGGCCAACTCGGCTACGCATCCTTCTATTGGCTCTCTCCTTCCCAGCTTCACTCCTGCCGCACATGGTTCGTTGGGCTGGATCCGTGGGCACAAGGAGCAGGAAATACGTGGTGGCTGCATGAATAGCCTTACTCAGGGGGTGGCCTTGGAAGACAGGAGTGAGGGGAAATAACTCCAAAGGTCAGAGCTCCACTTGGGTGGAAGTGGCCCAAGGACCAAGTATAGAGCCTTGGGGAGAGGTGAATGGCCAGGGGTCTGGAAAGAGAAAGATCAGGAAAGTCCTGAGGGGTGGGCGGGACAGAAAGCCACCAAAACTCTCAAACAGGCAAGTCATTTGAACAAGACGTGGATTTCCTACAAAATAAAAATCCTGGGTAATGAGGCCACTGAATGCCAGAAAAAAAAAGGCAGCGCAGGGGGGAAAAAAACAAAAAACCTTGCCCATGCCCATATATTTTAGGACTAAGAGGCATGGCCAGACGGGCGGAGCTGGGCTGGCTGGGGGCTGCCAGG